GACTACAACACACCTAAAAGTAAAAGTATGAGTTGAGTTTTTATATAGTAGTATTCAGAAATAGAAATCTTCAACCTATTCTGTGCTTTCTTCTTCTTTAAGTTGTGCTGTACTTATGTGTTTGATATACATTTTAAGGCAATTTGGCAGATATGTTTATTATCTCATTTTGATACAAAATTGTGGAATTGTGTTTAGTCGTCACATTCAATATACATTATATAAAATATTACAAAGACAAAATATTAAATATTTTATTGTTCAAAACGAGAATATAAATCTATCTATTATTCATAGTTTATGTATTTACATGTTTTTAAACAAAAAAACTTTAAAAAATATATTTTTAGTCAAAAAAAGTTTAACAACGCCAAAGGATCATGGGAGCTCTAAAAGAACTGAAACTAGATGTATGGAAAATGTCAGCGCATCTAGAACTCAAACCAACAGTGCATTGAAAACTGGAACTGACAATAGAGGTAACTTACTTTTTTTAAAGTATAATTTCTAAGAATGATAACACAAAAATATACAGGTATTTATATTTATTCTAGCTGCTGATTTGAGTCAAATCCCAGGATTTTCAAATGCAACAGATATAAGTACCAATTTGGAAAGTACTCTTATTCCAGGTAAAGTATTTCATACTTGAATCAGTCAGTAATTTTACACTTATTATTTTATTTTAGACCAAAGTTCCTTGTGCAATAATACCTGCAACAGATGCAGTCAGCAGTTTGAAAGAATATGTAAGTTTAATTCAGTAGTCTAGTTTCAAATGACCCTGTGAAATATTTTCACATATTTTCAGTAGAAACGTTAAATTGTTTCCAACACCTCTCCAATATTTTCATTTTTTTAGACTAAATGCCAAATAAACCAAATTATTTATTTGTTCCATCTTACATTTAACTAATTATTAAAAAATTGAATTTGGATTCTGCATAGTGCATTAAGGTATGTTTACATCTGATATTTATTGCATGAGATTTATGTCTGACAGTTGTTTAGTCCAGTGTAAACACACAAAAATTTATCTCTAAATGTCAGATGTAAACGTACCTTTAGTTAGAATTTAGTAATTTTTCTGGTTCAGTTAAAACTATTTGTTTAATGTTTTTAATTAAACGCGCAAAACACATATATTATGTGTATATATGTATATATATTTTTAGTGAATTTCAGACTAAGAGAAGTCACAAGCCAGGCACACAAGAACTGCAGTTGCTGACGTTCTTAATATACTTAACACCAATAATAATGCTCAAAGCCAAGGTAATGGTACCTCAGATGGAGGTGCACCTCCATCTTTTTATGAAGTAAGTAGACAACGTTTTTCATTGGACACTTTAGAAGAGCTGCAAAAGTTTGAAGATTTTCTTAATGTTTCCGAACATTTTGAATTAGCTGTAAGTGCTCATTAACTTTTAAGAAAGGTGTTAGGTACCGTAAAAAAGTGTCCATATTTTGTGATATAAACAATTATGTTAAGAGATATTAAAAAAAAAATCTCTTTTTGGTACTATGAATATGGAATAATTTCGAGGAAGATATGACTATTATACATTCATGAAGATCCTTAATGTAAATTCAATAACGAACAGAAAAGACAAGGCATATTTTACTTGTGTACACTAACTAATAAACTTTACTCTAAATTTTAACGGGAAGAAACTGACAAAATAAGTTATTAATAAGAATGTCAACACTATCTCACTATAACATTGATTTGTTTCACTCGGCTTTAATTTTAAAAGAATGATCAAAAAGATTAATATGTGTTTTTATAGTAAAAATTGGCAATGCTGTTTAAAGATAAATGAAAAAATAATTATTGTTTTATTTTAGGCAAGAGAAATATCTAGGAATGGGGGCAACAGTTACGATTTTGTAAAACGTTCATTGACTCCCATTTTATCTATTGTGTTGGCCGTACAGTATAACTGGGAAGGAAAAAAAACAAGAAAAACAAATTTAGCGACCTAAAATTGGCAACAGTTATACTTGGTAAGCATAATCAGCGATAAGTTATATTATTTTCTAATAAAAAATATTATTTTAACATCAGTTTTACTTGTCAAACGATTCAAACCTCATGACAAATACTGTTTATGTACTAAAATTAAATGCACAGGAAAAAATATTTTTGCATCAGTTATTTATTTTTATTCTCTTGTAAATTGTGTATTACATCCTTAAATAATAAATGTTTGTTTTTTGTAGAAGCAGATAAGAGAGCAAAAATATCCAAATCCAATAAAGAGTGTGAAAAGTCAATTGCCGCATGGCTCAAGAGGGTGAAAGAGCGGCAAGAGAGGACACAAAAAATATTCTCTTTCCGTCCAAAAGAATAATTTTTTTAAAATAAATTAAAAAAGTATCCTTTTAATATCCTATGGATGTAGTGCCGGGATATCCCGGGGATAAAGTATTGGGATATTCCGGGGATAAAGTATACGGGATATCCCGGAGATAAAGTATACGGGATATCCCGGGGATAAAGTATTGGGATATACCAAGGACGTCCCGTTTTTTAACATCGTATATCCTCAGGATGTACTAGGGATATCGCATAGCTGAAGCCGCATATCCCGAGGATATAGACTAATGTCCTGTCAGATATCCATGGGATATCCCTGGTATAAACTTGTGCTGCCTGGGCAGTAGTTTGAATACCTCGCAAAATATTTTGAGTAGATGAAAAATTTTTTTTTCGAGTGTTTGCAGTATGTATGGTGTTATTTGAAACTAAAAAGGTAAAATATGGAGTGTTTGACGATTTGTTTGTTTAAAAACGTATTTTTTAAAGTGGACCTCGTAACATACTTTAAACAGCAAAGACCTCTCAAGACCTCCGAGCCACGTATAGGTGTGTGTGTGTGTGTGGGTGCGTGCGTGCGTGCGTGCGTCTGTGTGTATGTTCTGCATTTATTGGGGCATCATGTGCGTGCATTATCCTGTATTCCTACCTCTGTTCGACTTACGGCATCATACACACCGATGCCGGAACAAAAAGCTCAGTAACTGCTACATTTTTGATCATTTACTTTTTTTCATGGAATTTTTTCGTGTATTATCGTTTAAACTCGAGTCGTTTATTTGTGTGTCTGATGTCATAATTTATGTTGAAGCAGATGTGCATCAAACTAACTTTTGACATCTCTGTCAAATGACGCCCTCAGTGTACACACTATTATATACACCGAATCTTCGAAATCGTATAGTCTTGAGTCAGTCTTCTGACGACGTTCGCTTAGTAAAGACAGACGCTCTGACAAGAAGTGATTGTTTTAGCGTTTTATATTGTTGGTTAGTGTTAGTTATTTTACATGATAGATTATAAAAATTATTAGTCTATGTGATTTTTGTAAATTATACAACAGGTGTGAATTTAGAAACTTTTCTTGTAGATCCCTTTTATCTTTTAATAAAAACATTTTTTTTGGTAAAATCAATATTTTGACATCAATTGTTATTGTTTGTAACTTTATTTAATTCAATATAAATGTATAAAAAAACTCATTGATATTTTAAGTAATTTAACTCCAAGCCAAAAATATTTTTAGGTATACTTTTTGGCCGATTTTATAAAACAAAATCCCGAAAAGTTAGACAAATGTTTTCTGATATAGAGTAGGTTGGCACTATTAATGAATCAATCTGTATTATGCAATGTTATATTAATGGTTATAAATTTATTACAAATTAAAGGTAACAGTTGGTATCGAATAAAAAAAAACATTTTTTCTATATTCTACCTATGGTGTTTTCTTTAATTTTAGCAAATATTAAAATGGAAACCAGAGGGAAGCGTTTAGTAAATTTAGTTTGCCAAAAAGATCGAAAAATTTTGGAATTTATTGATAAGCCTTTATATGAAACAACGAAAGGTGTAGATTTGAAACTTATTGATGTGTCCCATTTAAGGAAAACGTTACTCGAAGGTATATTATTATTTACTTGTAATAGCTTGAAACACTGACATTTTTAATAATAATTTAGATTCACCTGTTCAAAGTTCATCGAAACCTGTAGCATTTATTTCACCGATAAAACGATGTGTTGAAAATAGCGCAAATAGCGCAAAGATAAACTTAACTGAATATATGGATTAGAATGATGTTAGTCATTATGCAGATAGAAACCAAAGTCAAGTCAGTACTGAACCGGGACCAAGTAAAAGGTATGGTCTAAGAAGCAGAACAGTCGAATTAGATAATAAAACTGATTCGGAATCTATACATGACCCATTTGAAGATTATGGTAGTGAATATTCGCCGAATGTTAGTAGTATTGCTTCCAGTTGTTCAACTAACAGCAAAAATAACTAAAGCTCAAGAAATATTTATAATACTGAAATAAGCAAATCAACGGTTGTTTGTTCAAATATAGAAAATGAAAGCCTATTAAGAACAAATTCATCGGTAGTTGACATAAATATAAACAACAAAAATTTAAATTATATTTATAAAGAAAGTGATGAATCAATTATTTCGTCATCCTCAACGGACGATGAAATTAAATTAGATATTGAAATTAAAGTTCAAGAACCTATATTTTTAAAAAATACTCAACAAAACACCGTTAATAAAAATCGAACACGAGACAAGGGTCATTTCTGTTATTTTTGCTAAAAAATATTATGTAATAATTTGGCTCGTCATATTGAGACAACACATGGTAACGAGATCGGGGTAGCCAAAATTTTAGCCATGCCCAAAGGTTCAAAAAAACGTAGGGACGCATTTCAAAATTTAACCAAATATGGAGACTTCTATCATAATTGCGAAGTATTAGCTACTAAGTGTGGAGATCTGATTTTAACGAGAAGGCCCTCGCTGCGAGAAGAAAAGTATACATCTATCCATGATTATGGTCCTTGTCCGAAATGTTTAGGCTTTTACTTAAAAAAAAAAAACATATTTGGTATCATTTAAAATATAAATGTAATGAAAAATTTGCATCAAAGGGACCAATTGCTGAGAGTTCAGCATTATTAAATGGTATCTTGGGTAGAAACTACACTTTCCTTTACCGAAAATGTGTTAAATAATTTTAGAACCGACCAAATTTCTAACCTAGTTAAGTCGGACGACACAATTCTTCGGTTTGGTGCATTTCTTTTTGAGAAATACAATACCACCCAAGCACAATTCAAACGTCAATCAATGCGCCAACTTGGACGTCTAAGTTTGGAATTGAAAAATAAAGGAGATATTTTTAAAAATTTCAGCGAAATGCTTCTTCCTGAAAAATTTGATGCCGTTGTAAATGCAACAAAGGTATGTTTTTAAATCTATGATATTTTACAAAAAAAAAAAATAGATCAACTAACGTTTTACACCAGAAATACTATTTTTTCATTACGTAATACTAATAAATTAAATATTACAATTATATAAATATATTTTTTAATCTATATAAATGTCTTACGATCATTTTCATAATCGAATTTATGTGATATTTCATTACTGTAGATTTTTATTTACTCTTAATTAGATAGATACTGCTTATACTTAATTTTTAAACTTAGTTCCTTGTTTCTTTTATTTTTCAAGTGTATTTCAGTTCTTATTGTAGAGCAGCTTATAATAATCACATTTACCATTTGTGGGAATTAATTGTAATAGAACCGAATCTAGAGACTCTAGAGATAGAGTTTATAATTAAATATTTCCTAAATAATTTTTATGACAATGTTTGTCGAAAAAGTTTAAAAACTTGAAAGGTTACTGAGACTTGTGAATCTATAATACCATAGTTATTTCCACAAACATCCTCATCAAAAATTAAAACACTCTGTTGTCAAAGTGTTATTATTAATGTTGATCTAATGATAATTTTATCCAAGATGCATGGTAAGATATTTAAGAATCACCATATCATATGTTTTAGGCCCTTATAAAACTCAACATAACGACCCAACAAAAAGGCCAGAGTTTCAAATACCATCACTGGCGTTGAAAATAGGACACGCAATTAAAAAATGTGCCACTATTGAAAGGGGACAAAGTGTACGAAAAGGGGATATAAAAAAGAATAATAAACTTTTGTCATTTTTAGATCTACTTAATTTAAGGTGGAGTATTAGAATTTCTACACACGCTTTGTCCACTTTGTATCTAAGAAAGCAAACTGCAGCAGATTTATTGCCAATCACTAGTGATTTGGTAAAGTTAAGTAACTTTCTAGAAAATGAAATAAAAAAGGCAAAAGAAAACATTTCACCTAAAAATTTTATGAGGCTAGAATCTCTTACTTTGAGTCGAATCATTTTATTTAATAAAAGACGGTCAGGTGAAACAGCTAAAATAACACTTGATCAATTTGCACGAAGGTCAGATTGGAAAAGTACTGGAACTGAAGAGATGAAAAATTCATTATCACCATTTGAACTAAAACTGGCCTCCAGCTTAACAATCCTAAAAGTAATCGGGAAGCGAGGTAGAATTGTGCCTATTTTATTGACCAAAGAACTTAAGGAATCTGTCGAATTACTAATTTCTAAGCGTGCACAGTTTGGTATAGCTTGTGAAAACCCCTATATATTTGCAATTCCTAATTCGAAAACAAGTCATCTTAGAGGTCACGGCTGTCTAAAAAAATGGTACCAAGAAGCATGCTTAGAGTAACCGGAACTTATTACCAGCACAGTTAATAAAATATGTCGCTACAGTCTGTCAAGTTTTCGACTTGACAGAACGAATACGATTGGTTGGCCAGGCATCTAGGACATGATGCACGGGTTCATAGGGAGTTTTATAGGCTACAAGAAAATGCAGTAGAGTTAACCAAAGTCAGTCGCTAACTATTAGCAGTAGACCAAGGTGAAGCTCATAAATTTAGTGGCAAGCAGTTAAGATATAAATATTGAAGGTAAGAAATAGGTACTTAAAAATGTGATAAATGAAAATTTTAATCATTTATTCACACTTGTTCTAACTATTTAACTAAATATGGTATTAAGTTTTTTATATACAACTCGTTATTATAAATACAGATGATTCTTAGATGCGTGTTTTAGAGAAATATTTTACTTAGCTTTGCTTTTCTTATTTTGTTTTTAGACATGGCAGCACTAAACGAAACCACCACAATGGATACAGTTTCAGATAGTGAGGATGACAGTACCCATAATTTCTCCGAAGGTACCGAACAAAATAAAGAGGTTGTTTTAAAGGGTAAATAGCTAAACTATTAAAAATATCTAGACAATTATTATTTTGATAATTGTTTATTGATCACTTAATGTAATGTAAATATTTTTGGTTAAATTGTAAAATAACTGAAAATTACTATTAAAATTTTTGTAACTTTTGCGTAGGCAATATTAAAAATTAGCTATATTTTTAGGGAAAACGAAAAAGTAGTGTCAGCACAATGGAAAAAACTACCAGCAAGAAATGTTCAAAACGACCATGGACCGATAACGAAAAGAAAATTATGTATTCTAAATTCACAAAATTTATAAAAAATAATTCTTTACCAGGTAAACAAGAATGTATGGAAGTAATTGAAAACCATGAGGTTTTTGCGGGAAGAAAATGGTCGAACTTAAAATTTTTCATTAAAAATCATTTATCTAAGATCAAGAAGATGAGTTCTATTTCTTAGATATTTCCTTCCACATAACGAATTATTCATAATAAATTTTAGTTTTATTTTTAGAAGTGGTTTTCTCTTAAATTAGGAGTAGATATACAGTGTGTTGGGCGAATTGCTCGTATTTTAGCTGCTGATTGATTATCCACACCTAAAATATTTATTGATATATTCCATCCATTATCAAGACACTGGTCTTAAAACTGTTTTTTTAAGATTTCTGTTTCGTTTTTTTTTTTTAATATTTTTATTTAGTTATTTTTATATGTATTTTGAAATGTTTTCCAATAAAACTATTTTAATCTAATATTCGTTTTAATTTTTCAAAAAAATTAATACAAATAACAATTAAAAAAAATTAAAAACATTTTTATTAATTACTTCATTTTCTAATTGTGTTCAACATATTCTTGTTATTATCTTATCATTTATTGTGTTTCTTGTTTTCTTTTGGAACTGATATTTTCCTATAACAATGTTACTGTTAAAAATAAGTAGTTAAATCAAATTAAAATTTGAAAAATATTTACCGGTACCTAAGTGCCAAATCAAATGTTGATTATATAAGTATTACTATTTTATGCCATTTAAAAAAGACGTTAGATATATACCCTAAAATCACATTTCAATTTGCAGAGTAGTAAGCATTAAACTAATCAGGACGAAAATAATCGATTCCGTATTTAGAAAAAAATATGATAGCCACTAAGACATCGTGAAGAAAATCTGATAATTTCACAGATTTCCCGATTTGTTTTTATACAATTTCCAATTATTACAGTTTTTGAGAATAAAATCTATTCATGCAAAAAATTAAATTGATAAACTTTAATTTTTCCTATATGATTAGGAAACCATTATAGAAAAAATATATACAGTGTGGTGATAAAATAAGGAACAAAAATCATGTTCTCAAGCAAAACAGATCAATTTTATTTTTTAATTAACTATCTTTTGACATAAAAATCATAATCGTGCCATTTCATCCCTTTGCTCAGCAACCCCAATCCTTAAAATTTGAATAGGGAAGGGGGATCAACTGGCACGTCGTTTTAAGGGGCGTTTAATTATCTTTCCAGTGGTATTAAAATTTATAACCCCGAGATCGATTTTAGCGCCCTCTTTAAAGGAAAAACTGTTATGTAATCCAAAGTGCGACGCCTCATATGAAAGCTAATTTTATTAATAATTCAATGCACTAAATAACATTTACCTAAACATATTCAATTACCCTTGTAACATAATTAAATTAGTATAATGATCTAGCACTTGATAATATTTAAGTTTTATTTTAGTTGATTTTTTTTTATTTGAGATAATATGTGGTGGTGTTGGATTACTAATAAAATTAGCTTTCATATGAGGCGTCGCACTTTGGATTATATAACAGTTTTTTTCCCTGAAGAGGGTGCTAAAATTAAGCTCTAGGGTATAAATTTGAATACCATTCGTGACGAAGTAACTAAATTTTGCTCTCAATTAATTTAAAAATGTATATTTCAATTAATTCCCGCCTGAGAACATGTAGAAGTTCCCCGTATTTATGTTTCCCAGGAATTACCGTTTTTCAACAATTGCTAGTACCCTCGTAGATTAAACTATTCCTATATTTGCTGAAACCCGAATGGGCATTTTGTAGAGTCGATTTCGTACCGATTATCTACTTTTATTTGTCAAGGTACTAGAAGAAAATTTTTTATATTTCTAAATTGTAAACAGTCGGCTATAGAGGTGGTATCCCCCACTCGGGCTTACTGGTCTTCCATCTTGTCACAGCGAAAAAGCATAAATTCGATGACATCTGGGAATTACCCTCTCTTGATTGCCGACAGCCGAAAACTATTCGCCCTTCGATAATGTCTAGTAAATACTCCGTGAGTGCCGTGATTTCGAAAAAGATCGTTGAATAACCCCGTTTATTTTTTCTAAAGGTAGGAAACCGCTTATTATTTTATTTACAATTAGTTTGAGACGCCCGTCCGACAAGTGAAATAATTTTGATTCATGCCCAGCATTTTTTTCATTTCATCCCTTAGTGGGAAACCGTTGGCAATTTTGTTTTTATAAGAAACACCCAGTATTTTTCACGTAAGTGTTTTTTCTTTTATTCATTCAATTGTATTTGAATCGTTCCGTTCCCCGTCCACAACTAATTATTGAACGAAGCCCAACTTTTTTGTAAAATTAAATTCACACACGCTCTCAATCGACTCTGGTCAAATCTCAAATTAATTTTTACGTTAACCATCGCATTTTTGTCGCAAACACCGCGCTGAAAATTATCATTCTCATTCAATAATTGCCAGAGCGTCGATCCGTCTGGTCTAAGATACAGGGACGTTCCGAAAACTTTGATTTCATTTATTTGCTTGCATTTGATTACCGTCATATTTAAATTGATTTCGAGTGTATTAATTTATTTTTAATAAATTTTCCGTATATAGGGAGTTTTATAATTCCCGGACTGCTTGGCCTCCCGTGCTAACGAACCGTAAATATTTTTCCGTACTAGTAAAAGGTAATACGAACTTTTAATTTCCTAACAAGGTAATAAAGTAAATTGTATTTAAATCCGGGGGAAATCGCACCCTTTATGCATTTTCGCGTTAATCAGAGGGTGATAGCGGTATTCACTTGCTTCCCCCCGTCAATAATCAAAGCTGTTCCAGCCCCTAGTCTTTATAACAGCTCGTGGAAATGGTTTCTCTATTGTAGAAGTTATGGACTACCAGATGTCTACATGAGAGAGACTTTAAACCGTTAATATTTAATTAGTTTTCATTGGTAATAAATTAAACAATGAATATACAAAGTAATATTTATTTTTATTTAACATTGAACAATAACATAGGTACTTTGAACACAAAAAAAACTAAACTAAACCTTAAAAAATTATAAACTTATTTTTTATTTTTGTTTTCTTTTTGACAGTCTTGTTTACAGCAGTCTTTTTAATGGCAATTTTTTTGCTATTGTGTTCTTTGCTCTTTTTACTTTCCTATCTGTATACAGATAAGGAAAGTATAGGAATCATAATTTTTTTCGACCTCGACTTTTCGAAGGATTTTTACGTTTTTTCGGGATGATGTTTCTGTGCGTGCGTGCCTGCGTACGTGTGTGTGTGTGTGTGTGCGTGTGGGCGTGTGGGCGTGTGTGTGTGTGCGCGTGCGTGTGGGCGTGTGTGTGTGGGCGTGTGTGTGAGTGTGGGCGTATGTGTGTGTGTGTCTGACATTTTCCATTTTTCAACATTTACCTACAACAAAAATTCACTAAACTATTGTTTGTTTAGTAGTTGTAAGTAAAAGTTGTCAAATAGGAAAATGTTACTTCAAATTGTTTCAAATATCTAAATTATCAAGCCC